ACAAACGTCAGAACCCTTGCTGTGTGGATTCAGATTTCAAGCAACCTTTATGTGGTAGCTGTTTGTGCATAGTAGACCTAGATAAGTTGAATGGTACAAAGGTGAAAGGAGAAGATACATCTTGAGAAGGAATGAAGGGTTGGTGGTCACTTGACCACCATGTAGTGCTGTGGTATGGAAAAGTTTTTCAGAAGTCTTTTAGGTGAGACTTGAAGGGATGCAGAGATGGGAAAGTATGTGACTTGATGGATAAAAATGAGAACGTGTTCTATGCACTGATGTTATTGTGGTGGAACGTATATAGCTAGGAGTGAATGACGGGAACATGGGGTTAGTGAATGGCAGACTTCATCAGCCAGGTGGCACAACTTTGCTAACTGGGGCTGATGGGCATTGTAGCCCAAAAAATATATTTATGTAATTTAGCAATATTTATATACCATATATCTCGCCTCTAAGCGGTTTTCATAAATGGTATACATTTTTCATTTGAAAATAACTATAAAACAGACTTTGAAAACTGTAAACATAAGAGAAGCATCAAAATGTAGATAAATCAACAGATGTTGAAAAGCAAATGCACATGATGAAATTACATTTCTGGGTAACCAAAAATGTTCAGAGTGCGTGTTGAAAACAGTGCAACGAAGGCACCTGTGTAACAGAGGGCATGTGGTTGTCAAAGGGCTGGTTCAGTAAATGGATTTTATATTAAAAAAAAAAAAGTTTGAACGTTGTTGTCCCAGAAAAAGAAAATTAGCAATTTGGAGGCAACACAGTATAATCATTCTGACTCCCTGGATTTGTATCTGAGAGAGAAAGCACCACTGCAAGCCCCTTCTACCGAGAATGAGAAATCTTCTCTACTTTTCAGCTTGGTGTCTCTAGAGAGTAATGAGACAATGCAATTATATTGTGCATACTTGATTGAATGATATTAGAATGGAAGGTAGGTTGGTGGCTCATGGAAAAGTCAGCTTACACAAGCTAAACGCTCTCTTATATTTTGGGCAACATTTCACATCAGACTCCTGTCAGCACAATCACCCACTGAGTCAAATTGATACTGAATGCTAAAAAAAGAAGACTTGTTCTTGCAGTTTAGAATTCAGCTACCTCTGTGAGCGGGTGAGATCGTCTAATCCCACATAACAAACATGTGGTTGATGGACAGCTCTTAATCACTGCGCCTGTAATTGTTTTCCTTCCAAGGTGCAATTAGGGAATCACATGATGCGACCTTGTGAAAATGAAAATAAGCCATGTTGAATAACAGCAGGGGAAGTACTGGGCTTTTTTTTGGTGGTTGTTGTTTATATTATTATTAAGGGGCTGCAGAAGACGCTAAGATCTCAGCAGGACTGATAGAGGGATGCCTCAGAAGTCATGAAAAGGTCTCTGTGTTGCCTGAAGACGTAGGCAACCAGAACCAGTGTTGTGATGTTTAGACCGTATACCTATGGAAAAGATGATGAATTAAATATATCCACCATTCCATCACTCAACTGCTACCTTGTTCGCTGAAGTAATGTGTTGGAAAAATAGCCCAAGGAGGCTCCATTGTGTAATGCATGGTGCATGTAAACAGAGTGTGTGTGAAGGGTTTGGGCAGAAAAGTCTGGCTCAATAAAATGTAGTGATCTCATTTAATTTTACATAGCAGCAGCATCTTGAGCAACATACATGTTCTCATACATCTTTAAGCATCACAATAAGGGGATCATCAAGACAAGATGAGGGTCAATGTGGGATGAGTGCCACATTGGACTGGGAGAGACTCCCGTCTCAAAGCCTGTAGAGCTACTGCGAGTCAGTGTAGAAAATACTGAGCTAGATGGACCAATGGTATGACTCAGCATGAGGCTGCTTCCTATGCTTCTCTTGTATTGTAATACACTAAAGCAGCCCATAGGCTCTTTCATAGAATCATAGAATTGTAGAGTTGGAAGAGACCCTGAGGATCATCTAGCCCAACCCCCTACAAAGCAGCTGCCCCATACAGGGATCAAACATGCAACCTTGCTTTCATCAGCACCACCTTCTAAGCAACTGAACTAAAGTCTTGGTTGGCAGTAGCAGCCTGTGAAGTGGTGGGGTGGGGGGTAGTAATCGGCTTCCACCTCTGAACGAGGGGTGGGGGTTATTTTTCAGCCCAAGGGCCACATACCCACATTTGGCAGGGCAGAGGCAAAAATGCATGCAGCAATACATGAGAGTCTTTCCTTTTTACGATAAGCTGCATTGCATCCATGCAAAAATTAGAGGTGTATACACACGGACTCCTCCACTCCACACACACCTTTCCACCCTCTTTCCAGGCAAGCAGGAGGTGTTAACCAGCACAATTCATGGATGCATTCTAGCCAAGCCAAAGCACTTGAGGAGGGCACAGAGCAGGGACAGTTAGGGGGTATGACCTGGAGAGGGGAAGGTCCAAGCTAAAGGGCTAGACAGAGTCTCCTGGAGGGTCATCTTTGGCCCCTAGATCTGAGGTTCCACATCTTTAGTCTAAGACCTATTCCAGTGGAAGGGGCCTCTCAGTCCTCCGCAGCAGAAGCTGGGTACAGCTCTGTCAGCCTGTATGGCGTTTAACTTAGCTGCTACCCCACAATCCACACCATTAAGGAACACTTATCCAGCTTGATCTGTGATGGCGCTCCCACCACCACATACTTCCTTCTGCCGCCACCTGCTCTGCAAGATCTCACCCTAAATGGATTCAATCTTGCCCAAAAATGGTGGTGATGGCAGTGACCCTTCTCCCTTACTGGCAGAGACGACAGGGCATGAGAGGCACTCACAGGCATGCTGCCTGAGGGGCTTCTGTCACATGAGGCCATAGCCTCACCGTGCCTAATGGCTGGGCCGGATCTGAACTTGGAAGTTGCAGAACGCCCCCAAAAGTTGTCCCTTTTCTACAAAAGAGGCACAACTTTTAAATTACTTCTTCATTTAAAAAAGAGTGTTTTGATGTTTTTAAGTGTGTTCCTTTGGGATGTGGAACCTGAAAACATGAAGCTTTCTAGATTTAAAAAAGGTCTTCAAGGAAAAGCAAATAGCAAGAGCCCCAACATATTAAGCTTTTAGAATATTACTTCTGAGCCTAGATCCCATTTTTTAAAGGCACAGTTTTGAACATTAAAGGGGCCAGCGTTATTCTTGGAAGGCTTAGCTAGTGAGTCAAAATGTGTCTGAAACTAGGGGGTTTGATGTCTGTGTTGTGCATCTTGGAGTGAGCTGGAGAGAGGGAGGGGGAGTTGTGAAGTGCAAAGACATCTTCATTTCATGCATGGAAATGATGTTGTTTTATGTGCAGGCTAAATCGTTGAAGCTCACAGGTCACTCAGCATTTCCAGTATGACCCAAAGTGCTGAGCATTAGTGTACCCTTTTCTGAACAGTTCCATATTTAATTGAGCAGACTCGGACCAATTAATTTCAATGCTTGATTAAATGTTTGTATAGGTTGTTTGCCTCATGCATAAAATGCATGGGGAAAGTGTTCTGTATTCCGTAAAAATAAAAATAAAAAACCAAACTGCAAAGTGCTGTGTAATTGTCAGCAACCCCAGAGCTTATTTGTAGAGCATGGAAAACATACCACAGTCGGCCAACACAAATACACAGGAAATTTAATGGTTTGCTGGAGAATAATAATAAAAAAAATGATCACACCGTTGAGAACATAGTGAGGGCTCTACAAATGTAATCAAGATCATAAATTGAGAATGCCTATTTAAAATAGGTTTGTCTTACTGAATTGCTCTCAGTATATTTTAGAATGGCATACACTGTTAATAGAATATTGTGTTCAGGGTAGAAGACCTGGATTTCCCAGGTGCACTTTAGTAATCTAATTCCCAGTGACCTATGCTTGCATTGGCTCTGTTTGTGTGCGTGATGGTGGCTCTTTCAAGCAGCTTTTCATTCTTTGATATAGAAGAAATTATTAAAATGATTAAATTAATTGCTTTACTCATGGAAATGACTCAATGCAACTTATAAACACAATAGAAAACCTAAAACCAATTACAATAAACACAATCAATAAAAAACCTAAAACAAAATACCCAGCTCTACAAATAAAAGAAAGGTCTAGCAGATCTGCCCTACCAAAACAGGCCACAAATACTTTAAAACACATCAAAAAGTAAGGGGAAAGTTTGCCTGGCCCCTAAACTAGACAAAGATAGAGCTGGGTGAGTCCTTGGGAAGAGCATCCCACAAGTGGGGAGCCACCACTGAAAAGTCCTATTCTTAGCCCTCCCAAAATACCCCCTCTTCTTTAGCCCCGAACTGTCCAAGCAACCCCATCTTCAGAAAGGAGAAGAAAGAAGACCGGTGACATTGATACCAGGAAAGGCCCTAGAACAGATAATTCCACAGTTGGTCTGTGAGCATTTAGAAAAGGATGCTGTGATTACTAAAAACCCAGCCTGGGTTGGTTTCTCAAAAATAAGTCATGCCAGACCAATCTGATTTCCATTTTTGATGGGATTACAAACTTGGTGGATCAGGGAGATGCTGTGGACATAGTGTATCTTGATTTCAGCAAGGCTTTTGACAAAGTCCCCCATGATATTATCACAAGGAAGCTGGTAAAATGTGAGTTGAACAAGGTAACTGTTAGGTGGATTTGTAGCTGGTTGACTGACCGAACCCAAAGAGTACTCATTTATTGTTCCTTGTCATCCTGGAAAAAAGTGACAACTGGGGTACCACAGGGTTCTATCCTGGGCACATTGTTGTTCAACATCTTTATAAATGACTTGGATGAAGGAATTGAGGGGGTGCTCATCAAATTTGCAGATGGCACCAAACTGGGAGGGGTAGCTAATGCCACAGAAGACAGAATCAGAATTCAAAACTACCTCAACAGATTGGAGAACTGGGCGCAAGCTAACAAAATTAATTTCAATAGGGACAAATGTAAGGTTTTGCACTTAGGCAGGAAAAACCAGATGCACAAATATAGGGTGGGGGACACCTGGCTTACTAGCAGTACATGTGAAAAGGATCTCAGGGTCTTGGTGGACCACAAGCTTAAATGAGTCAATAGTGTGATGCAGCAGCAAAAAAAGCTAATGATATTCTAGGCTGCATCAACAAAAGTATAGTGTCCGGATCAAGGGAAGTAATAGTACCACTCTATTCTGACTTAGTCAGACCACACTTGGAATACTGTGTCCAATTCTGGGCACCACAATTTAAGAAGAATGTTGACAAACTGGAGGAGGGCAGAGGAGGGCAACCAAGATGATCAAGGGTCTGGAAACAGACTTACGAGGAGCGCTTGAAGGAGTTGGGTATGTTTAGCCTGGAAAAGAGGAGACAGAGGAGATATGATAGCCATCTTAAAATATCTTAAGGGTTGTCACATGGAGGAGGGAGCATGCTTATTTTCTCCTGCTCTGGAGCGTGAGCCAATGGCTTCAAATTGCAAGAAAGGAGATTCTGACTAAACATTCGGAAAAACTTTCTGACAGTAAGAGCTGTTCAGCAGTGGACCAGACTCCCATGAGAAGTGGTAGACTCTCCTTCCTTGGAGGTTTTTAAACAGATGTTGGATGGCTATCTGCCATGGATGCTTTAGTTGAGATTCCTGCATTGCAGGGGGTTGGACTGGATGACCCTTGGCGTCCCTCCCAACTCTAAGATTCTATGATTCTGTTATTTATTAAGTAGAACTTTGCACGTAAGATCTTCTGTTTGATGTACTACATGGGAATGTTTGTCAAATAGTTCTTAGATTTATTTATTTTTAAGAACCACATTGCTGCGAAAATTCATTACGCCCTCAGGGAACCTACTTTTCAAGGTGATAACTTCTGTTTTTCTGTCATGCCATTTCAAACACTAGCTTCTCTCTAAAAAAATATATTTGCTTCTGACAGTTTTTTGTTTTTTTTGTAATTGTACTCTGGGCAAAGTCGTCCTCTCCCCCTCCCCTGCCCCCCGGTATCAGAAATCTGTGCTACAGTAGCTCCTGCTATCTGTGCCCCACCGGAGCAAACTCCCGCTGTGCAGCTTTTGCTGTGGCGCTGCAGTTAATTTCCCCTTGTGGCCATTTGGCTAATCCTCTGATAGAGAACAGGGAGAGGTTCATGTGAACAACAAGAAAAGTGCAGGAGAAATGCTTTGACTCACAGACATTTTGACTTGCAGCTCCCCACAAACTTGAAAAATATGCCTTTTGGAAAAGGTTGGCTTTTTTTTTTTTAAGTCTCTCCACCCACAGTCTGTACAGCCCGGAATGTGAAATACAGGCCGTTTTAGATGGCTGGGAGACAAGCCTTGCGGGAAATGCATTAAGGAGCTCTAATATTACAGCAACATGGTGACTGCATGCTTTATTTTGAAAATACCATGAATGTAATGCCAGCTTCCTTCTTATGTCTATTGAAATGGAGACAAGTGATGGCAGACATAGTTGTGTGCCTTTTCGAGGGGAGAAGCATATTGTCTGAGATACACTCGCATATTTCAGTATATTCATGTATCCTGTTTACTCTCACCAGACGTCAACAACTCACACAGCACATACGGTATAAGGGGGTCCACACATAGAGCAAGGAGTGGGGCGGTATCCAAAGTTGTTGCCAGGCTAGCCCTGCCGCTAATGTTCAGAGCATGCTCATTTTTTCGTGATGAATCCCATTAGCACACAGTCACTACTCGTGAGCACCGTGTGTGGTCTCACATAGATGGGATATGTAATCCCCAAGGGAGAATAATTCTACGTTAGTTTTCTCCTTTTTAAGGCTAGAAATTCCCTTTCTTTATTGGAGAGCATTGCATCCTGTGAACCCCTTAGCTTTTTAGCCTGAAGGTTCAGTCACATATTCAATGATCTCAGGCAATGTTTGTGAGAACGAGACTCTCTCTTGGAGGAGGAGATATTGCTTTGATGATGCGAGGGAAAACAGCAGCTACAAGAATACTATCACGAGCATTATAAGTTTGCGAATGTACGTCATGCTGTGATTTACTTTTTTTTTTAAGTGCATAGGAGATGTGCTTTATTTTTAAGACCTGTAATGAGGTTTCAGCATGTTTTAAATGAATAGCACAGGAAACGCAGAATAATTGTTGCTGCCTCCTAGCAGTTCGAAAGCACGTCAAAGTGCAAGTAGATAAATACCGTATGTTTTGCTCTATAAGACTCACTTTTCCCCTCCTAAAAAGTAAGGGGAAATGTGTGTGCGTCTTAGGGAGTGAATGCAGGCTGCGCAGCTATCACAGAAGCCAGAACAGCAAGATTACTGCTTTCACTGCGCAGCGATCCCTCTTGCTGTTCTGGCTTCTGAGATTCAGAATATATTTTTTTTCTTGTTTTCCTCCTCCAAAAACTAGGTGCGTCTTGTGGTCTGGTGCATCTTATAGAGCGAAAAATACGGTAGGTGCCGTTCCAGTGGGAAGGTAGATGGCATTTCCGTGTGCTGCTCTGGTTTTGCCAGAAGCGGCTTAGTCATGCTGGCCACATGACCCAGAAAAACTGTCTGTGGACAAACGTCGGCTCCCTCAGCCAGTAAAGCGAGATGAGCGTCGCAACCCCAGAGTTGTTCGCGACTGGACTTAACTGTCAGGGGTCCTTTACCTTTACCTATGCTACAGGGACTTGCAGAAGGTGCTTTAGCATTTCCTTGTTTTTTCAACCACATTTTCTGCTTAATAAAGTGACCTTTTAGAACAACAGAATGACAAAGGAATTGAAGATAATCTGTACTGTTTATTGTGGTCCAAATTCTATTGTTCTGCAATCAAGAGGGACATAGATACCTGAATTTTGTGAAACTAGGGTGGCCAACTGTCCTACTTTAGAGAGGACAACTCTCTGTTTTGAAGGGTTATCAGACAACAGCCTTCTATTAGAAAGCATCCTTTGTTTGAAGGCCAAGTTTCCCTAGCCACTCTGGGTGACTTAACAGCATATATTAAAACATTAAAAAAATCAAACATTATAAACTTCCCGAAACAGGGCTACCTTCAGGTATCTTCTAGAAGTTGTATTGTTATTTATCTCCTTGACATCTGAAGGGAGGGTGTTCCACAGGGAGGGTGCCACTACCGAGAAGGCCCTCTGCCTGGTTCCCTGTAACCTCACTTCTCACAGTGAGGGAACCGCAAGAAGACCCTCGGAGCTGGACCCTCGGAGCTGGCTGAATGATGGGGGTGGAGTATATCCTTCAGGTATACTGGGCCGAGGCCATTTACGGCTTTAAAGGTCAGCACCTACACTTTGAATTGTGCTCGGAAACGCACTGGGAACCAGTAAAGATCCTTTAGGACCGGTGTTATATGGTCTTGGCAGCCGCTCCTGGTCACCAGTCTAGCTGCTAATCTTTGAGTGTCAGAATTCATACATTATATTTTAATAACTCCTTACACTTCCATTTTAATAGGAGAGCTTGTGTTTATGGGACCTAAAAGAGTTTCTAAAAAATCAAGTTTGTATCGGATGTAATTTGCATCCCATTTCTTTTAAACAGGCAGTGGTGGAATAAGTATAAAGGAAGGAAGAATTAAACTTTACCTATGGCTATACATTTTAGTTTTTTGTGTTTCTTTTTAAAGGGGGAAAATCTGTGCCTTGTAATGAAAAATAGCAGCTTTGAAAAAAGAGGAAAGATTCTGTGTATCCTCCAAGGAAAGCTTCGCATCTTTTCAAAGACAAACGAGACAAGAAATATAAATCATATATTTAAGGGAAAGGAGATAGTTCAGGAGCAGTGTCCTTCAGGGTATTCTGTATTTCACTTATGCTGTTAGGTCTAATGGAGCAGAGACTTTGATCTTAATTTTAGACAAAGAGTACGTTTCCAACTACTATAATTCCCCTTTCTTTATAACCCCTCATGTGGCAAAATATTTGATGGCCTTTCCATACTGACCCTTTTCTGGTAAGAAAAACACTTCACTGGTGTTCAGCATGCAACATGAAACATGCAACACTATTTTCTCTCGATTTCTGTCTCAGATTTTTATAAGACGGTTAAAAAAGAATTCTTGGCAAATATAAATTTCATGTTTCACAGTGACAACTTGCCCAGGTTAGTAGCATATTTTTGGCACAAGATGTATTCACATTTGAAAGAGCGAATTGCTTTCTAAAGAAAATACTCTGGTAGATGGATAACTCCCTAGGTGGTCTTCAGTAGCATGACACTGATGCAAATTCTGGGCTGTTTTCTCTCAATAGCAGAGACTAACAGCACAATTCTGAACAACTTATGCAGGAGTAAAACCCACTGACTTCTGTGACTGTTACTCCATAGTAAATGTGTATAGGATTACAGCCTCAATCAAATTTTGCAACCACACCTATTTCCTAATACGCAGTGAATTTTAAAATGTGGAACCATATTGCTTTATGCACTTCTTTCTGTGAATAATGGGTATTTATGGAAAAAAATCACAAGGTCCATTTCTTTTTAATCAGCATGGGAGCTATTCTAGAGAACATCAGCATCCCAAAATACTCAAACCTGTCCCTACAAAGTACACTACTTATTTCTTTTCTTTTTTTTATGTCTGTAGCTCAAAATTAAAAACTAGATTCCACATACCCCAAAACAAACACATACACACAAACTAACATGTGAGAAACATTCCAAGGCTTAGAATACCAAAAAGTCTCTAAAGGACTATTAATTAGGCACCTTTTAAGTACCAAGTTACGCAAAAACCTAGAAGGAATGCTTTCTGTTTAAATAACACAATGAAATAGTATCTCTGTAAGAAATGGAATGTGAAACCTGCTTTCTAGGTAGAGGCAAAATGCACATACCAATGTCTCCAGAATTCTTTAGTGGCTAAGATTGCAATCCTGTCCCCATTTACCTGGGAATAAGCCTGATTGAACTCAGTAGGATTTACTTCTGAGTGCACATGGAAGTGGCTTGTTCACATCATTTGTTCTCTATCCCCCACTACTTTTCCAGATAATGGAAGTAAGTGCCCCTATTTTTAATCTGACAATTCTTGAAGGATATGATACACAGTATGTGAGTGTCTTAAAATAGCACTGAAGATACTTGCAGGCGAGGAAATCCATCTTTTGATGGAATCTTCTGCATGAATTGTTTGGTATCTGTGGAGACTTTTTTTAAGGTGGCAAAATATGTCTTATAACTTTGCAGATGTTAATTCAGTTGAATAGAACCGGTTCCAAATTATGAATTATTAGGAGATATCTGTGTGGCTCCTTTGTCTCATGATGGATTTGTGTTATAATCCACATAAGACCAGTGTTTAGGTTGCTGGCAAATATAAAATGAAGCAACAATCTTATAGAGCATAATGGACCTTCTTCCTGTCATATGCCTCTGCTTTATGACCCTGCTCCCCTTCCAGTTTGTCTAAGCTGAATTTGAGACGGGGAGCCAAATCGCATTGCTGCCTCTCCTGCACAAGCCCCCCCTCCCCAAATTTCACCATGGAATGACGACAATGTGATTCTTTGAATACACCAACCTTCAAGTTTAACTGAAGGGAATATATTGGGATACAACAACAACAACAACAACAACAACAACAACAACAACTTATTTATACCCCACACATCTGGCTGGGTTTCCCCAGCCACTCTGGGCGGCTTCCAACAAAATATTAAAATACAATAGTCCATCAAACATTAATAGCTTCCTGAAACAGGGCTGCTTTCAGATGTCTTCTAAAAGTCTGGTAGTTGTTGTTCTCTTTGACATCTGATGGGAGGACGTTCCACAGGGCAGGTGCCACTACCGAGAAGGCCCTCTGCCTGTTTCCCTGTAACTTGGTTGCTCGCAGTGAGGGAATACATATTAGTAGTATTGCATTCAACCTTAAAACCTAAGGGAAAGAAATAAAACCCTATGCCCCATCCCAACCCAAAAAAGTCGACATAGAATTGTAGAGTGGGAAGGGACCCTGAGGATCATCTGGTCCAACCCCTGGCAACTCAGAAATATGCAACATATGGGGATGTTGAAGTAATTTAAGATACAAAGGAGTAAATGTACAGTGGAGACAAAATGTGAATGACAAGAACAGTGACTGGATGTAATACCACAGATAAGGTTGCCTCAGTAAAAAAGTCAGAAGGATAATATGGGAATTCAGCAATGCATATATGTAAAAAGTATACAGAGAGTAAAATAAAAGTCATATATTCCAACTTCTAGTGAAATGAGAGGCGGGTTGTTGATTGTGTTGTTCTTCTTTGTTGACATATGTCATAAATGAATACCATGTGATAAATAAACACATCTGTTTCTAAAATCCCCTGGAGGACTTTCAATTTGTGTATCATTTCATTTCATCAAAGCTAGATACCATACTTTCTGAAAGCAAGCAAGTGCCATTCTGTGGTTGATTCTCCTGGCTTTTTAAGCAGCAAGAATGTTAATCCCGCACAGGCCAGGGCATCCTTACTGGGTGGCTGCTGCTGTCTCTCACAGCCCCATGCATTCTATGAGGTAGTTGGGCAACCTTGAAATTCTTGATATTAGAATGTCTAAGCGTCATTTGCTAGTCAAGGAAAACGTCCTTCTCCCAAGCGACAAGCTGCTGACGCTCTACTTATAAACAGTGGAGCCAGCAACAATCTTTGGCCCATTAGATGGAACATGACCAAATGATCAATCTTCATACTGAGGCTCAATTACAGTGTTGTCATCTTTCGCAAATGGTGGCCCTACACAGTTCATCAAGTGTTGAGTTGCAGATAGTCACATTATTGTGAGATAATCCCATCCCATGTAGCTTAGCATCATAAAGTTTTTAAAGTGCTTGTGCGTGTTCTCGTTTCCATTAGGCCATAATGCCTTAAACCGTTTTGAAAGTAATCCAAACAACATCTAGTTAGAGAAGACCCTAAAACAGATTTATAGGGCCTGTTCAGAACTTCCATCTATACAACAGTGGCTCTATTGTTATTCAAATGAGCTAGCTGATAGCGACACTAGGTTTCTAAAGGTTGTTGGTTGACAGTATCTTTCTGTTAAAGGAATCTGCTCAGCAAACTTTGCCCTTAAAAAATGGAATTTGCAAAAGGACAGGGTGCTGTTTTTCATCAGTGTTTGAACCTTCGCAGACCCCTTCAAAGTTAATGTGGCTGCTATATCTGTCACTTTATGGTTTGTGCTCAGAGGGGTGGTTGTGTTAAATTTGTTGCAGCAAAAACAATAGCCCTTCGGCATTTTAAAGACCAACAAATTTATTATGGCACACGTTTTCATGGATTACATTACAATCTCTGTTTTGGATGCATACAGTCCCCCCCTCCATACATACACTTGAATGAAACACAACTTTTATTTAAAAATCACACTATGTGTGTCAGTTAGTTTACCAATGTCAGGACAGCTACAACTGCTTATAAATAGCTACTATTACGGTAATTACATAATTATCTCTATCTGTATATTTTGTGCACTTCATTTCCCTCTGACCTCACTGTTTACAATCTCCACCTGCCCCACAACTATGCCTTGATACCTTGAAGTCTGCATTATCTGATCAAGTGTATTGTAGTCCAGTAAAGCAATCATATTATTTGCTATACAGTGGTGCCTCGCAAGACGAAATTAATCCGTTCCGCGAGTCTCTTCGTCTTGCGGTTTTTTCGTCTTGCGAAGCACGGCTATTAGCGGCTTAGCGGCTATTAACGGCTTAGCGGCTTTAAGAAAAAGGAAACAAACTCGCAAGACGTTTCGTCTTGCGAAGCAAGCCCATAGGGAAATTCGTCTTGCGGAACGACTCAAAAAACGCAAAACCCTTTTGTCTAGCGAGTTTTTCGTCTTGCGAGGCATTCGTCTTGCAGGGCACCACTGTAATAAATTTGTTAGTCATCAAGGTGTCGCAACAAACTTCATTGTTTTTTATTGCTCATCTAACTACTTTGCATTATCACAGTACTTGTCCTTACTTAGGCATGTAGGATATGCAGCACTGAATATCTCTAACCTCCAGCAAGTCTTGTTGACAGTTGCTGTTGTGTATTTCACAAAGCCAGATAGCAGTATAATACAGTGGTACCTTCAGGTTACAGACGCTTCAGGTTACAGACTCCGCTAACCCAGAAATAGTACCTCGGGTTAAGAACTTTTGCTTCAGGATGAGAACAGAAATCGTGCAGCAGCTGTGTGGTGGCAGCGGGAGGCCCCATTAGCTAAAGTGGTACCTCAGGTTAAGAACAGTTTCAGGTTAAGAACAGACCTCCAGAACGAATTAAGTTCTTAACCCGAGGTACCAGTGTATAAGCAGTTTGCTTCCAGTTGTTCTGAATTGCCACCTTAAAGCAGAAGGATCCATTAGAAAGAGTGTTAGAATGGCACTGAAAATAGCCCAGTGTCCAGCTCTCCCCTTCCTCCTCGTAACATGTATTTCAACCTATCTGGTATCCTGTTGGCCTTTTAAGGTGTGCTGCTCAGCTCATGACACTCAGTTTTGTGGCATTCCTCCCAAGTATTTTTCTTGCTTACCCTGTGGGTGGGTAGGTTGGGTAACACATATACATACAGTGGTACCTTGGTTTAAGAACTGTTTAGATTATGAACAACTTGGATTAAGAATGCTGCAAACCCGGAAGCAGGTGTTTTGGTTTGTGAACTTTGCCTTGGAAGCAGAACATGTTTCGCTTCCTGTTGAGTGTGTTCCATTTGTAAATTGAGTCCCCCGCTGCTATGGGGAAGCATGCCTTGGTTTAAGAACGCTTTGGTTTAAGAACGGACTTCCGGAACAGATTAAGTTCGTAAACCAAGGTACCACTGTATTGGGAGAAGAAAGACAATCTTGATAAAGCTCACTCCCTGCTTTTCCCAGTAAGAATTGAATGTGAATGTATGTGTGTGTGTGTACGCGCGTGCTCATACACCCATACCCAAGTCTCAATAACATATAAACTGAAACAGATCCCACAAGGTGTCTGGTTGGCCATTGTGGTAGCTAGATTGTGAGAACTAGTTGTGCCTGTGATGAAACAGGGTTCTTCCCGTTTGTTCTTAAAAGGCAGGCTGTATCAAGCAGGCCACACGCTGGATTTGATCTTTGGCGTAGGTATAGATGTGATCATGTCTCCTTCGATGAAGGAGATCACTTCGATGAAGGTCTGATCACTACGCTCTGAAAGCCGGGATTGACTTTACACCCCCACCTTGCTTAGGTGGCGAGCCGATTTGGGCTCGCCCGCACAGGCTGATGCACCCTGATAGATTCCGCCAAGCCCTGCGGGACTTTGCTCCCCCTGGCGACTCATTGACTGAGCTTGTTGAGGTCTGGAATACCCAGCTCCTGGCTGCCATCGATGAGATCGCACCTAAGCGCCCTCTGTGACCCCGCAGAAACCGGGCTCCCTGGTTTACCGAGGAGCTCCAGAAAATGAAGCGGGACTTCAGACGGCTAGAGCGAGTATGGCGGGGTGCCCGTGACGGAGCCTCAAGAACATCTTATAGGGCTTTTATGAAAACCTACGAGATGGCGGTGAAGGCTGCTAAGAAGTCTTACTTCTCGGCCTCCATTGCATCCGCTAGCTCTCACCCAGCACAATTATTTAGTATAATCAGGTCTTTAACGTCCCTTGATGGACAGCCAAATTTAAATAACAATTTGACACACAGCTGTGTCAAATTTGCGAGCTTTTTTTGCGGAGAAGGTCTTGTTGCTCCGCCATGACCTCCCTGCCAATTTGGATACAATAAAGGAACTGGAGGCCCCTCGGGTCCAGTATTGGACCACTTTGACCGGATATCCCCAGCCGATGTGGACAGACTCCTCCAAGCTGGAAAGCCCACCACCTGTCCTCTTGACCCGTGCCCGTCTTGGCTGATTAGAGCGTGTCCAGATGAGGTGCGGGCCCTCCTGGGGGATATCATCAATTTGTCCCTTGGCACGGGGACATTCCCAGGGGAACTGAAGGAGGCAGTGGTGCGCCCGCTCTAAAGAAAACATCATTAGATCCCTTAGATCTATCCAATTACCGCCCGGTTTCGAATCTTCCGTTCCTGGGTAAGGTGATTGAGAGAGCGGTTGCTGAACAGCTTGGTGGGTTTCTGGATGAAACATCGGCTCTGGATCCATTCCAGTCCGGCTTCCGCGCTGGTCATGGGACCGAGACGGCTCTGGTCGCCCTAACAGATGATCTTCGTAGACAGCTGGATCGAGGCGGGTCGGGGCTGCTGATTCTTCTAGATCTGTCAGCAGCTTTCGACATGGTCGATCACGAACTTCTGGACCACCGCCTTGCTGGCGTGGGGATCCAGGGCACAGTCCTTCAATGGCTGCGCTCGTTTCTCTCTGGTCGGGGACAGAGGGTGGCGCTTGGGGGGGCAATTGTCATCACGCCACTCCTTGGTGTGTGGAGTACCTTAGGGTGCAATACTCTCCCCGATGCTTTTCAACATCTTTATGCGCCCCCTCGCCCAGCTTGTTTGGAGTTTTGGGCTGGGTTGCCATCAGTATGCCGATGACACCCAACTCTATCTGTTGATGGATGGCCATCCTGACTCGGCCCCAGACACACTGACCAGATGTTTGGAAGCTGTGGCTGGATGGTTACGTGGGAGCCGGTTGAAGCTAAATCCTTCGAAGACAGAGGTCCTGTGGCTGGGACGGGACGATATGGGATTGGGGGGGCAACTCCCATCTCTTGCGGGGGCACAATTAGTGCCAGCACCATCCGTTAAGAGTTTGGGTGTAATCTTCGACACCTCCCTTTCCATGGAGGCGCAGATTGCAGCTATAACAAAGGCAGCATTTTTCCATCTCCGCCAAGCTAGGCACTTGGCTCCTTACCTCTCTCGCCCTGACCTAGCCACTGTGATCCACGCGACGGTCACCTCCAGACTGGATTATTGTAACTTGCTCTACGTGGGGCTGCCCTTGAGACTGACCCAGAAACTCCAGCGGGTGCAGAATGCTGCAGCGAGACTCCTTACGGGGTCTTCGCTGCGAGATCACATTCACCCGGTGCTATACCAGCTGCACTGGCTCCCGGTGGAGTACAGGATCAGGTTTAAGGTGCTGGTTTTAACCTTTAAAGCCCTATACGGCCTAGGACCCTCGTACCTACGGGACCGCCTCTCCTGGTATGCCCCACAGAGAAACTTACGGTCTTCAAATAAAAACATCTCTGAAGGTCCCAGGCCACAGAGAAGTTAGGCTGGCCTCAACTAGAGCCAGGGCTTTTTCGGCCGTGGCTCCGATCTGGTGGAACACTCTGTCACAAGAGACCAGGGCCCTGCGGGACTTGACATCTTTCTGCAGGGCCTGCAAGACAGAGCTGTTCCACCAGGCCTTTGGCCAGGGCACAGCCTGACTCTCTCCCTCGGCAATCTTTGCGGAGCTCTGGCCCAATGGTTGCCAGTGGCTTGAATTAATTAATTTTATAATGAATGATTTTAGAGTGTTGTTTATGCTGTACTTTTGTACTGTTTTATTGTTGTTAGCCGCCCTGAGCCCAGCTTCGGCTGGGGAGGGCGGGATATAAATAAAATTTATTATTATTATTATAATAAATGAGATATTTTTTCCAAGCTCTGCTAAAGGTGGAATACAGCTAATATCACGCTTACATTCACGGAGCAGGAATGCCCCGTGTGCATTGTAATTCTGTAATGACTGTTATTTATCACAAATCTGCCACATGTTTGTTCACCCTGACTAATGAATGACCTTTGCATTCCTACAAGCAAACCTGCACAGGCCCTTGGTTGCTGAAGTTGTAGAGTGATGGCTATTTGTCATGCTTCACTTATATTAATCACTGACTCAAGCCACCCCGCCAGGGAAAATATCTTGACCTTGCGTTATGATGCTCATGTGCTCGCAGCGCACACAAAGTCAAGCTTTTTCATGGGTTATCGTATCAGAAAAGCTGCTTTTTCTGTCCTTAGTTGCAGTGATTCGGAGCTGACTTTGCTACTGTTTGAATCAAATTGCTGCCAATATTGTCATAGCAAATTTATCAGCCGAGGAATTGTTTACAATGTCTTAGCAATGCCTGGACTGATTTGTTGACTGTTTCGGTGATTCCTTTGTAAAGCTTCAATTTCTTAAATTGATAAATGAGATGGAATGCACAAATGAATAACAGCAGCAAAAAGATAAGTTTTCTTACAAAAAAAGAAGCTCACCTAGCATTGAAACAAAGAAAAGGCAGAAAAGCACAAGGTTCTTTGATGCACTTTAACTTTATTAAGAAAAGAAAGAGGTGTATCGAAGGCTGCCATTGAATGGCACCAAGTTCAGCTTAATTCAGTGACCTGGGCAGGATTGGGCTATAAATGCCATGATGTAGTTTCTAGGCTCTCGAAAGGCACTGAATTCTCCTCATTCAGTGGTAGTTCTAGATTTGGTCAGTGCTGTAGTGGTAAGTTTTGAAGTGCAGGATCTTGTCATGTAAGCTACACCTTCTAAAGCAGCTTTTCTCAAACTTGGGTCCCCAAATGATGTCAGACTACA